CAATTTCAGAAAGCAATTAATCCTTTTTGAACAAAGCTATAGTCTAATTTTAACTGCTCAGAAATCAGTAATAAAATTACACAAAATATAGTATTTCCGCTATTCATTGGTCAGAAGAATGCACTGTTCGGTTCCAAAGTACGAAGGCAGGTTAAGGCCATATTCCTCAGCCAAAGATGGAGGAATAAAACGACCACCTAAAGCATAAAGCAGCTTCTTGATAAATTTAATATGAAAATAGTTTGAAGAATGTAATATGAAATAAAGAGATTGGTCTCAATGAATCATTAGAAGCTTTCATTTAGTTCAAGCAGGTTTTGAGGCTACCGGAATGTATTGAATAAGAGATGTATTCGTCCTAGGTCGCAAACTTATATTTTATAATGAAACCGAGTACACTTCTTATTAAAGATCTACTGGTAGTTTCAAAACCTACTTAATTTGAATATAAATAAAGTAGACCACTAATAAAATAGCCAATATATAATTGGTTGATCCACAATCCCTCTGCAAAATGTGATTTTTAAGAGGCCTGGCTAGCCTTTAAATTCACATATGCCCTGTTTCCCATTGGCGGACGTGGCAATGTGACGTAGTGATAAAATATCGCAATTACGGGTGCCCAAACGGAGTTCGAGTTCCATTTAGGGTGCTGAAACGAAATCGAAATTGCATTCCACTCTGAATGAGATTATCTTTTGGAAGGCAAGGCTAAATGAAGCCGATTCATAACATTAGGAAAAAAGGTCAACTACCAATCCTTTATCACTTTATGCTACGAAAGGGGAATATCGCTCTTGCTACAAGACTTGATAGTCAATAAAAATAATTTTCAGATATCTAATACAGAATACCTAAATATAAAATTTATAAAGGATCTCAAATGCTGAACGATACTTAATAGTAGAGTATAATGCGAATGGGCACTAGAAGGGATGATAAATAAAATTAAGTCTAATTAGACAGATGACCAGCCACAAACTATGCAGAGAACAGCTACACACACACAAAAGCGTTAAAAAATATTTTTCCTTACAAATAAATATCCAAATACGACCCCTCAGTTAGAATGAAAAAGAGCTGAGCTTCCGTCAACACGATAGGATCCATTAATCTCTTAGAGAACCAAATTAAACCTTTAAGCCGTAGTGGATAGCGTTACACATTTTAACTTGAACCTTAATCATGAATGGGATCAAGGATTGATTGAGAATGAATGTGTTAATGGCAAGCTTACCTAGATAATGGTACCGACCAGTAAAATATTTGGCACAGAGTTTGGGAGCGGTTAGGGAGATTAGGCAATCAGGTTTAAGTGTGAAATCTAAATCTCCATTGGACTCTACAGGTCCAAGTTCTACGTCCCACCCTAAAGCAAAACATAAAGAAAAAAATAAGGCAATCGATTAAAATAATAGATTAATGGGTTTAGAAGATTCGATAATTGCATAGCATAGAGGTCGGTGGCTGTATAGTTAATGGTGATAAAGTAGATCTAAGACAATTCAAGAATTATAAAGCAATCAATTAATCGTCTTTAAGGGATCTACAGAGCATCACGATAAAATAAAAGCTTAAAACCTAGGGAATTAAAGGAATGCGTTTCTGATTCAGATTTCGCACGGAAATATTGGGAAGAAAACTGGCAAGCCCACTTTTCTTCTTTGAAAGAAACCATGATTTTCATGGCTGTACTCGTGTATCCTATTTATTTTAAGTGTATTCTAGCTGGTGGAGTCACCTAATTCAATCCATGAGTACCCCTAACCAGGGTATTAGTAAGTAAATATGGATATATTGCAAGCAACCGTGTGGGTGCACTTTATTTGCGTATCCAGTCAAGAGTAAGATAACCAGCTGTATTTTGAAGCTTCCATAAGAGAAGTATGGAGTATTTAGTTGCAAATGTATTAAACTAGATTAGATATGGAATGCAAAGTGCTATTATTATAAAAAAGTATTCACATGATAATTCATATGCAAATAGAACGCCTCACCAGAGGGCACATCAATGCTGATCAGAGGAACTTTGGCTCCTGCCATATGACGAAGGATTTCTGCGAAAGCCGGTCGGATTGGGGGTTTAAAACTAAATCCGAATAGCGCATCGACAATTAAGTCGAATTGGGACTCAATCGGCTTGAAAAATTATTAATTGAATATAGGATAGGCAACATAGAAGAAGTGTAGACAACGATAAATGTGATTCTACAATGGATATAGTGAAGTAACTTATGCTGTGATACATTTTACATAAGTGCATATAGGGATGAAGTTAGGTTTCAAAGGCACTAGAGAAAAATGTGTAAAATCATAAATTTGATTTGAAGAAGCATTGTAAGATGGAAAAGAAGGATGGAGGAAAAGCCAGTAGATCTAGACTGAAAGACATGCAGCATGTATGTTAGTGATGTAATCCAAACAGCCCTTTCATGCTAAACTCTCATAAACCAAGATCATCTCCTCCGATACACCCTATCCTTTAAATCACCGATACACCCTATCCTTTAAATCACCGACACACGATCCCTTTCAAGTGTCTTACGTATTAAACATAAATGAATCAAAACTTCCATCTGAAATATATTTTATTCTCACTCACATGTTTTCTTGACCAAGTAAGAATTGTAAGTTACACTGATAGTGGGTTTATAATTTTGGTAGTGTATCTATATCTACAGAGCACATATTGTATTAACTTTGTTAATAATTAAAGCCATAAATCTCATTTTCCGAATTAATGTGAGGTAATAATTGAGGCTTTTATGCAAAAACACTGCGATCTTTATCTATAAAATGTGAAGACAAGTTTTAAAATTCCAATGACCTGCGTTCAATTGCATCTTTGTTGGTCTGATATTTTAACCAATAATATATGGAAAAGGGAGATCGCACAAGAAGGAATAGTGCCTTAGGATCTAGATAGCTTTAGTAAGGCTGATTGAAAATTAGTGGGCAATAGTTTGTGCTCTTTTTCGTACAAGCTAATGTAAAAAATTTAGGAAGTGCCCAAGATATTAAATTTGAAAAAATATGTTCTCAGTTTAATGATCCTAAGAATGTTTGAACCTGCTTCACCTAGCCGAACTAAACGAGACGCAGTGTGTGCATCTCCAGTTCAGGGTCACCCAATGAGACTATTCCGGAGGAGACAATGGCTTGAAAATCCAGGCCTATTGAGCAGTCACATAATGCACGCAGCATACATTTATAACAAATTAAAAGGACAGTGGCAATTAATAATAAAACAAGGGGCAAGGTCCTTCTAAATAGTCTAATGAAGAAGCAATAGATAAAGAGGAGAATTTATATTAAAAAATGATTATAAAAGTAAAAGTGATAAGGAGAAACAAGAAGAATATAAACAAGAGGTATTTAAAGAAGGACCATTTAGAAAAGATATCAGATTATATACACAAATGCTAGATAACCATAGTTAAAGCATCAAATTTTCTTATACAATTGTAAATGTGTAATAACGATCGCGCAAATTTTTAACCTTTATAGTTTTAAGCAAGAAACTACAGTATACAATTTCTTTCAAAAGAGCTTACATCAGAAGGAAATTTCTTGATGACTAAAGAATTCATTTTTTCACACTGGTTTATGAGGTTTCTATATAAGTCTTTGGAGGGCTCGGTCGGATAAATAATCGTGGTTGAGTAACCCTGTAAAAGCTTCTATTAGACATTTCTGGAAATGTTACAAAGTAACAATGAAAGCCTAACTTACGAACATGGCCAGATGTCTGGAGCACACCAAACCATCCCCGCCATTGTTTCCAGGGCCGCAACAAACAAGGACAGATCTGGTAGATGCAGAAAGCGGATAGGACTGAGATAATAGTGCAAAAAAATACGCATTAACTGCTTTGCAAGAAAATTTCATAGATTAAAAGTCAAATATTCAGAAAATGGACCTGGTCGGTCATGAATAAGGGATA